GTGTGTGTGTGTGTGTGTGTGTGTGTGTGTGTGTGTGTGTGTGTGTGTGTGTGTGTGTGTGTGTGTGTGTGTCTGTCTCTGTGTGTCTCTGTGTGTGTTAACTGAGCCCTAGCCTACTTAAAACTGTCACATGTCACTTATATTCTGTTGCTATGTGATCTTTGGCCGGGATGAGCTCTTGGCTGCATGCGTTCCTTTCCCTCTCTATGTCTGGTCCAAAATAAATAGTTTTTAGCAGATTTTCATGAATATTTAAGCCATTAAGTCAACACATTTGCCTAAGAAACTTACAAGAAGTTCAGCATTAGTATTTACTGACAATATCTTGAAAAAGGACAGGAAAAGAACATCACAAAGTGAAAAAAAACAGCAAACTTCAACACAATGTTGGGGTTGGGGTTACGGTTGACAATTAGTTGTATTGTGGACAATTGGATTTGATTGAGAGGTTAGAACTCCATCGTATTGTCTTCCTGGCTAACTTTGTTTATTTCACTGAGTACCTTTTATAACATGTACAGGTTTATATATTTATCTAAATGGTACTGTCCAGCACGATATGAAAGTATATTCTTTCTGTTGAACTTACTGTAGATAAAGCCATAATCTTCCAATAAATCTTTTTTTTGCACCTGCCATCATGTGATTCATTGAATTAAATGTCATTGGTCGATAAACTCTAAAGTCTTAGTTCTGTTAACTAAATGGGCAATAACTTTATTATGTAGGAGTTCATCCCATGGAAAACTTTCTCAGACAAGCTTTTTCCCCATCACCTCCTCCATTCAGAGAGTGAATCACCTGTACTTACTCTTTATATGTATTACAGTGCCATATCAAAATATGTTTTTTCTAGAAAATATAGAATATCACTTGTTGAACTTTGTCAACTTTGTGCTGTTTTCTGTTCCAGACGAGGCCCAATGGATCCAGTGGACTACCCCATTCAGCCCTGGGCAGGTCATTACCCCGGACCCCCTCAGGCCCCACAGGGATACCCTCAGTCCCCATCCTACCCTAACCCTAACTCCCAGTCGGCCCCGTCCTACCCTAGCTACCCGCCTGGTCAGCCATATCCCCGGCAGGTCGACCCCCGGGGCGTTGACCCCCGGGGCGTTGACCCCCGGGGCGTTGACCCTGGGTACCACCCCCACCCAAGGTAATGAAATGCAAAGTGACTTTATCTAACATGACCCATAATGCTCAGAGGCTTTCATTCTGTTTTTCTTATATTGGGATAATGGTGGACCTTCCTGCTTTCTGCCTTCAGCTCTCAGCAGAGAGGCCCCTTGCGGCAGGACGTGCCCCCGTCTCCCACCCCTCCACTTCGTGGGCTGCGGTACGACACTATGACACGTGCAACAACGGGTGGGGGTTACAGGTAGGGGCGATTTGTGGATGAAGATGATCCCAGGTAAATTCTGCATCAATACATAATAAGAAAGAACATTAAAAAATAAAAACTCTGCTCTAAGAACATGTTTGTTGGGTTACAGGCACATGGTGGATCCCGGTCCAGAACAATATGGCTACCCTGGGGAGGGAGGGCGACAGCAACACCAAAACCAAACCAACCCAAGACAGAAGAATGCCATGACAGCAGCTGTGTAGACGAATCAGCTCCAGACATGAGAATGAGCAGAATGCTAATTGCTTTGTGATTTGCAGCTCTTCTGCTTGCGGTACTCCAATGACATAGAATTGAAACCTCTAATTTGAATCACTATTATTATCAAACATTCTCTACGCCGTTTGAAGTATATGGTAATACACAGAAAGGTAAAGGAGGTTAATTATAGAGTGGTTGGCATAATGCATAATGTCTTCTTGTTTGAAGTCTTTTAAATTGATTTGAGCCTTCCCGCCGTATAAAATTAGCAAGGTTTTTTTTTTCAATGTACTCTGATTTAGTCGTCTCTTTCAAGAATCAGACAGAGCCACAAAGGTAATTGGGTCCATTTGAATTAAGGCGTTACATAAAGCTCTACATTTTCTGTATTGCACCTCATGGTTTTACTGCTGCCGCACAAACAGGACAAAAGATAATAGATTCTAAAGTACAATATAGCATTGCTTTGTGGTCTTCTAACTCCATTCAAACATCTAAATGACACATTCTAGCATCAGTGTTCTTGTGCAATAAAGCCAAATGTAAAGACTATTTAGAGTGTTCCCAATAAAGTGGCTGTTAGTCTCCTCGAGTTGAGAAGTAGAAGATGATGTTGAAAATGTTCCAAAAATCCCATAGCTATTGTCATTTCATGTCATTCTACCACTTAGGTGTGTTTTTGAATATTTCACTTTATTTTGAGTGACTTCTTCAATGAATGAAAACATATTTTTTACACTTACATTTTCCAAGTCATCGGTACTCAATTCATGGTACAACTTGTGTTTATTGAATCTATCCAATGTGACCTGAGTTTTGCTTAATTATGTCAGGCAATACATTCAGGGTCACTGTTTAACCTTTATCAAACCACTACAATCGGCCATTTGGTCATATCTCAGTCTTGTAGCAGGCTTTATGTGATGGAATATTGACGATTGCAGAACCGATAGGTTAACGAAAAACCAACAGGACAAACATTAAGACTAGGTATAGCCTTATAATATCTGGGCTAAGATCTATTCTTCCTTGCGCTACTCAGAGTTTAGTAAAAAGGGATTCAACGAGAGAGTTAAGATATGACATGTACGACTGGATTGTTTGAGAAATAGCCAATTATCAAGCTAATAAAAAGCTCTATTATTGTAAGATAAATGCCGATGAGTCCCCCAGATTAAGTTTCGGCGATGTGTTCTGCCTATTTTTTACTTCTGCCTGGAATATTTACCTGCATGCAACAAGAGCCTAATCAAACATCAACGGGAAATACCACTAGGACTCAAACCGGAAGCCAGAACCCTTCCGTTACCAGTATCTCGTCCAATCTAATCTGAAGATCAATATTCAGATATATCTTCAAAAACTTTAATGACTTAGAGATGTTTATACTGTAAACCACTGCTGGGTAAACCAGGCAGAAAAGGTAATCATATAACTGACCAGTTGTCAGTGCTTATCTTCCCTCTGTGTTACTTAGCAGCCTCTTTTTCTCGTTTTCTGTGTATGCCATGTACTGTAGTTCGGTGTGATGGATGGCACATCTCTGTGACCTGGTGGTGTAGGCGTCACCGCGTGGTGGAGTGCTTACAAGTCCTGTTGAAACATGGATTGAGCTCCAGAGTGCTCTCCTCAGCACTGCACCACAGAGTATATCCATTTAGCCACTTACTCTACCATCAATTAAGTGAAACCGAGAGTGAGAGTCCAGCTCACCATTTCTGTGTTTCGCTCTACAAAGCTCAGCAGTATTAATTTCAATGGAGATTAAATGTTTAAAATTACTTTTCAGGATTAGGTGAATTGCATTTTATGAGATGAGGATGAAACCCACTGTAGTGAATGTAACAATAGGCGCTTTCACACCAAGTACTTTTCCTAGGAATAGTTCCCGGAATTAATTCCCCGGAACTCTTTAGTTCCGGAACTATCTAGTAGATCGCGTTCACACCGGAATAAGTCCCTGAGGGAGGATTACGCAAATGAAGCCGCTGACGTCACTTCTTCTTCTGCTTTGGGATTACTGGCAGGCCGCAAACAACTTCACGGCGTATACTGCCACCCGAAGTCCCGGAGTCAGAGAGGCAGTAAATCGCCACACGAAGTCCCGGGAAAATCGCCAGAAGCGCCAACACCTCCTCAACACTCCGGCACTCCCACGTTTTATTTTGTGTTGCCATAAGTTAGTCTCTCTCCGTTGGTGCGCTGGGCTAATGCTAATAATGCTAATGCAAGCAAATAAAATGCCGGCTTCACAAAACTTTTTGGAGTTTTACGGGGCGTGGTTTGCAAGTCGTCCAGCCAATCAGAAATTGGAACCTTTTCCTCCCCAGGAAAGTACCACCTCTCTAGCAGGGACTAAAAAGGGGTGAAAAGGTTCCCGAAACACAATTCTATTTCCAGATCTTTTTGATGTGAACGCAAAATCCCAGGAACTATCGGAACTATTCCTGGGAAAAGTACTCCGGTGTGAAAGCGCCTATTGAAGTAATTTGACCGAACCCCATGCAGAGAAATGTGAAGTAGATTTTGTCTTAAACCATCTCAATCCAGGATGGTTTGACAGATCTGATAGGAAAGAAAAAAGATGAGAAATATGAAAAGAAAGGAAAAGTATCGACAGGTGGAGAAGAAATTATATAACAATAAAGCAAAAGGATGTAGGGAAGAAAGAATGATTAAAGAAAGACATGATAGGCTAAAAGTATGCATGGAGGGAGGTGGAATAAATCGTAAAACATGTGCAGTGCCATAAAGGCCAAAGTCTTTGGGTCCGTAAGGGTTTGATTCAGAGGGTTTTTAAATGAGAACAAAGCAGAGAAAAGATTAAAAGTTCATAAATATTTGGGCGGCAGTTGTTCTGCAGTAGGAGGAGGGTTACAGGAGTGGGCTTTATTGATTGTATGAAGTTACTTTGGGAATTACTTAATGTGTGTGTTGTCAATATGTTATCACTCTTCAGTACCAGTACTGACATCAAAATTCAAATTAGTAGTGAAAGAACAATAATAAACCACAGTTTAAGGAGATTGGTCAGATGTTCAAGTTAACAGAAACCACATCCAAATTATTCACATGCCTCGTTAGATCATTCTCTCTCTTGCTTAGTCATTGTTTTTTGACTATGATATGATAGAAAGCAGAGAAAAGGCTGTACATCTCCATATTTCAGTGATTTAAACATTTTTGCTTGAAACAATTACTTTATGATATGATGACAAATATTTTTCTGTCAATTGAACAGTCAATTAGTCGACCTATTTTCTTAGCTCTGAGGACATATAATACATTAACTGAAATGATGAAATCCCTTGTTTTACACTCCAGGACCTTCAGTGTTGATAATGAGATTTTTTAAATAATCATTTACATTGAGGAATTAAAATGTGCTAGTCTGTAACCAATATACCAAAAAGAGGTTTGTTCATTACCAAAACGTCAACTGTATTACTTTAGATTATCGTAGCTGCCTATATGCAATACAGCATATTATGAAGCAGCAGAGAAATGATCTGCTTGGGTCACATGGACAATTTTGCTGTTATCATTCCAAAAATGTTTGCACCACTTTTAGACATAAAGATGGAATATGTATTTTTAGCCGTGTGTATCTGAATGCTGGGTAAAGCTTTTCATAGCTGCAGTTTATTGAGATGTGAACATTACATTATCCTTTGTTACCGGTACGCAATTTCGCATATATGTTGTTGTACTACTATTCAACTCTTTGAACGCATTTATTTGTATATGTATTTCTTTTTTATGATAGTCAGGGTTGTTGGAGTGTTGAGTTACCATGCTACTGCAAGAAACCACCTTTATTTCAGTTATTTTAGTTTTCCCTCAGTATTGTATAAGCAATTTACATGAAAATAATCAACTTTACAGGTCAATTTCAACTTTAATTAGGAAGAAAACACATGGTACTTTGCATAGCATGGATAACATCAAACTCTGAGTTTTTTGGCAACACATAGTATGAGTTGCACAAGCTGAAGGTACTACCCAGTCTCCTGTATGAACAGTTCTGGTACTCCTAGTATGAAGAAGCCAACTTAAAATTATCTATCATAGAAGTATAACATGTTTTTATTAAACTGCTTTTATCCAAAAAAATCATTTTATAATGTCGTAACAATAACAATGATTTATATTACTCTTTTCCTACATTTTATATATTTATGTATATAACATTACATTTTTGCATTAAAATATCCATTTTAAAAGATTGCTTGTCAAAGTTGTCTTTCTTAAACTGTTTTAAGCATGTCTTTTTTTCAATGCATGCCCAGCACATCTGCTAAGGTTAATTAAATATGAGTCAGGAGAAATTATTTCCCTCATGTCCCCCCATTCCGTGCAAGGTGAATCATTAACATTGCCAACCCAATTTAGTCCATCATTTAAGCTGCTGATAAATTGTACCTTTGTGATAAGAGATAGATGTTGGCCCCTAAATTAATGCAAGACTAATTATCAATTAGAAAAAGAAGATAAGGTACACTGATTGCTGCAGAAACTTTTTTTTTAAGTTTCTTTGGCGGGGTGCCATCACACTGCTAGGTCATATCCCTCCGATGAATAAGCATTTAGTCACAGGCTGTGGCTTTAAGGTGCTCTCTTATTTATCTCACTGGGTGCTGGACTCGCTCTGCAATCAGAGCAAGTTAGTAGTAATGAGACACAGAGGCCAAGGGACTGCTTTATCTGTCAAGACTTAATTAGCATATCCCAGACCTCTCGGCCAATGGGGAGCGGGAGAGGAAGTAATTCAATTCTCCCGAGTCACTGCCAAGGTTTATTTTTTGCAGTGTTCAGTATGGATCTACAAAGTTTGTGTATTTTCCAATGTCCTGATTGTAATAGCTATTAAAGTACTTGTGTTTGTGTTAATGCATGTGTGAACTTAGTAGTAGTTACAAAGATTAATTGCAGTGTGCTTCTGGAGTCTTCTTTGTATCTGAATCTAACATGAAATGAAGCAAATGCAGAGTGTGGAAGAACTAAACAGTTTACTTTATACCTACTTATAAATGTTTGACTAAATTATATCTTTCCATACTTAGAATTTGTTCTCCAGTTTGGCACACGGGTAAAATTCCCACATCCCCTTGCTAATCTCTATATACCACTCTCTGGCTTCTTCTCTATCATTTAAACCAACCAATGTTGCTAAGATCTCCATTAGCCAATAATGTTTTTGTCTGACTGAGTGGTCTCTGGTGGTCACCTCGTGACCGATGCTGTGTTTGAGTGACTGTCAAACAGCCTGGTAGACTCGCTGACTGAATGAAGTAGTCACTGACTGACTGTGTGTGTAATTGCTCCAAACACCCTTCCAAGTCAGGTTGGCATGCTGTAATTATTAGCAGTTATTATTAGTATAGTTTTAATAATCATTGGAAGCCATTGTAATTAGGATTTCCCATTATGACTGCCTGCCTGTGTGTGTGTGTGTGTGTGTGTGTCGGGTATTCCAGTAATGATCGACCCTCGACTCAGTTTCTCCATATTGACGCATCAGTGTTGCTTTAAACGCCTGTTACCATGGAAAC